AGTAGGATACTGTCAGAATTCTTATCACATCACCAAGTGACACTTCATTAAACTACCGTATTATTGATGTTAGAATATGCCCTCAGATTGAGCTTGACACGGGATACAAGGAGAGTGACCAGTGACCAGCCATACTTCATGATCATGAGTGATTGCCTGTTGTATCGAGGTAGTGAGGTGAGTGTATTATTTTGGTCCAAGTCTTTGGGGAAATTGAAGTGTAACTGATCCTTCACATTTGGTGAGCGACCCATTTGTGTTTGCGTCTCACGGAACAGTTGTTCACATCTATGTCGAAGCTGTCCGGTCTTCGTCCCCGTGTAGTGATATATTTCGTCACGTTGTTGTGTTTACATTATTGTGGTAGGCGCAGTGCGAGTGTTATTAATTAATACAGTTAGGAGATCAGTTGTCGGTTGTTGTATCGAGACTGTGGTGGATGTAGTCAGTGCTTCGTTCACCGGTTCTTGAGTGTAGTTTACACACTCAAAGATCATACATATTCATTCAAAAGTTTAATGTTTCATATTGTCTGAGTTACAATTTATTATCATGGCTACCTTCATTATAGTGGAAATTCTTAAACTAGGAAAGGAAGCTTGTCTGTCTGCTGAAAGTATTAACTTGCTTATAGAGAAAGAGGAATATAAATATGCACAGGCGGTTGGAAGAGATGAACGACAAAAAAAGAGAGTTTGAAGAGGCAGAAAAACAAATGAATCCCGACTTAGCTATTGCTCAGATTCGCTCAGACTCTAGTAAAGGTAATGAGGATACCGGCATGAAAGGTTGTTTTAAAGATCTTTTCTTGCCTACAATTACAGAAGGTCAAGATGAAATAGACTCTTATCTCCTCAGATTCGAAAGACTTGCAGAGCTTCATGGTTGGCAGAAGAAAGATTATCATGTATATCTTGGTTCATCATTGAGAGGTAAAGCGTTGAAGATTTATGTTAGCCTTCCTCGTGAAGTTGTTGAAGACTACAATCGGCTAAAGGAGGCATTATTACAGGCGTACTAGATTGATGCAGAGTCATACCGACGCAAGTTTAGAGAGACAAAGATTTCTGACAATAAAAATTATGTTCAGTTAGTGTCTAGACAAGAACAATACTTAGATAGATGGGTTTCACTTAGTAACATAAATAAATCCTATGAAAATTTCTCTGATTTCATAATTAATGTGTGTGTCATCTGGGTCTAAGAATGTTCCTTAAGGAAAGGTCTTTTGCCAGTTCATTTCAGATGGCTCAAGCTGCTGATAGATATAGATCAGCTCATAAATATTTGAAGACTAAATGTAGCAAAAGCTCTTTTAGTAGGTCAAATGTAATCTGTCACATAAGAATGGAGGAAACTGCAGGGGGCCTAATGGCCCATACTGGGCAGTCCCATTTAAACCCAACCCCTATCACTCATATATCCATCCAACCTATGTTTGAAGCTATCCAGCGTATTTGAGTTAATGATGATGTTTGGTATTTTGTTCCACTCATCCACTACTCTATTTCCAAATCAACATTTACCTATTTTGCTCCTAAATCAAAATTTGTCTAATTTAAACCCATTGTTACGAGTTTGCTCCTGGACATATAAAACCCGACTGCTCTGAGTTACATAGGCAGCCTAAAAGCAAAGTAAATGAGGGGAGTAAAAATAAAATAAGTTTTGTTCTTGAATCAGACTTGACCCCTGATAACTTTCTCACTGACTTGGATGGGTTAGTATTCAATAAAAAGGCTCCAGTTGTGCTAGATATTGGATGTTCCACAATTTTGATTAAAAACGAACTTGTTCCTATTAATTTCAAGAGAGTTAGGTTAAGGAAACTGTAGGATTACCTTGGTGTGGCAAGCTACTTCCTGAAGTAAGATCTTTTATTCAGAGCAAAGTTTGCCAATGTTCTTCTTGGTATGATTCCTTAAGTTGAGGTTCCGTCGGTTAACTTAGTGGACGAGAAGATTTCACAATTTGAAGAGAATTCGGGTCAGACTGAGACTGGGACTATTTCAAGCGATACTGTGTTTAAAGTAGAGACTTATGGATCTAAGCAGAGGGAAACATTAGGTTTAACAGATTTATTGACACCAACTAAGGATGGTTGGATATTAGTAAACAGGATGTGATTGCTGCTCAGAATGAATGTCCAACCCTTGCTTCTATTATTAATAAAGTCTTAAATACAGAGACTGTAACTGTTAAGAGTAGAACTGTTAGGTTTGAGATAATTAATGGCCTAACTTGCCTTGGTAGCAAAAATAATTTTGATGATGGTAAGAAACAATTTGTTTTGTTAATTATTATCATGTTACATCACAAATGATTCATTGTATGTGGTTAAAACTGTATAATTTCATACTTATATATTTATAATTATAATGGTTGCCCCTCGTGTAACGGGGATGGCCGTCCCAAGGGCCTCGTAGGTCGGGAATTTGTTTAAGGTGTAGAAGCTGTCGCCAACACAACAACCACACCCTAACTTAACGAGCTGCATGACCCAGTGTTAAGGAATAGTCCAAAAAAACCGGGCAACTCGTCAACTGCACTGGCTCACCATTACCCCGGAATACGATCCGCAAATCGATTAACATCCAGTTTCCCAATTACTGCTGGGTAGACAGAGGCAAATGGCGTAAAGAAACTTGCGCATAGATTCACCCTGCCCGGGGTTTCGAACCCGGGTTTGCTCGCTTGTGAGGTTAGCATGCTGACCACTACACCACAGGTCACCTGTGTCACATTTTTGGGCCTCAAAAATTTTCTGTAGGAATGATCTCAACTTTTGTAATGGAAGTACAGTACTCCCTCTTTATCGACGGGGGTTACGTTCTGTAGACGGCCGTCGATAAAGAAACCGTCGATACCGTGATGGTTACGTAATTTTTCTAACTATTATTAGCATATGTTGAATAAATGTACCTTTAAGCATTAATGCGTTTCCTTTACACATAACCTTAAATAATAGTGTATAAATAATAATATAATAAGTGGACAAAAATACTAGCAAACTTACGATTTCATTTATTGAAGTGAACATCGGTCCTTACAGTAAACAATACAGTGTACAGTATATACAAGTCACGCCACTAGTGCCGCCTAGCGGCGAAAGTACAAACAAGGCCCGCAGAGTTCAAATAAAGCCAAAATAAAAATCCGTCTAAATAATCCGTCGATAATCGAAACCGTCGATAAAAAATCCGTCGATAAAGAGGGAGTACTGTACTGAACTGTATATGGGAAAAATGGTTTTGCGTTATGGAAAGATTTTCAAGCATCCCCGTTAAAGTACGGTATTTTATTTAGGAGCCAATATTAAGACCTATGCTGTATATTTTATTTAGGAGCCAATATTAAGACCTATGCTGTATATTTTATTTAGGAGCCAATATTAAGACCTATGCTGTATATTTTATTTAGGAGCCAATATTAAGGCCTATGCTGGATATTTTATTTAGGAGCCAATATAAAGATTAATATATTGTATATAATTATATTTTTACTGTAATTTACAGTACAGTTGTACCCCGCTTTACGCAGTTTCACTTAACGCGATTTCTCATATACGCGGTGCCTCGCCAGAACCGAACTTTCACTTAACGCGGTTCATCTACCCATATACACGCAGAGTGTCCGGCTCGAGACGCTATTTTTAGATTCGCCCCACCCACCACCCGCTCCCGCCTGCCGCCTGCCTCGCCCTCCCTCCTCCTCCTCCTCCCTCCCTCCCTCCCCTCCGCCTCCATCCCCGTATGCCGACCCATCTCTTCTACTAACGTAAGTGTTACACCTAACTTTTAGTTTTCCTAATCTGACCTTTATTTTTCCTAACTTAACCTTTATTTTTCCTAACCTAACCTCTTCTATATTACTTGTTTGTTCATACCATCATAAAGTTAAGATAAAATTTTTACTACAACATAGTTGTGTGTCGTCAAAAAGTGGAGTTTGGGGGTCGGGCCAGTCTCTATTGGAATTAATCCCATATGTTCTGTTGTTCACTTAACGCGGTTTTCACTTAACGCGGTACCCTGTGGGTTCAATTGACCGCGTAAAGCGGGGTACAACTGTATATTTTAAACAGCAAAGCTTAGGATTGTTTCACATTCTCTGACTTTTCTTCCCACAGCTGTTAACTGAATATCAAGTAAGACTTTAACTTACAAGCAGAAGGTAACCAGTGTACAGTGTAATGTGTACACAAGTGTACAGTGCAGTGTGGACACAAGTTTGACAGACAATGAAATTGTTTCCAAATCCATCCAAGAAATGCTTTTTGTTGTGAATACTCTTCATGATGGTTATAGCCACACCATAGTGACTCAGTGTGGTGATAGCTGATGGTTGTAGCCACACCATAGTGACTCAGTGTGTGATAGCTGAGGGTTGTAGCCACACCATAGTGACTCAGTGTGGTGACAGCTGATGGTTGTAGCCACACCATAGTGACTCAGTGTGGTGACAGCTGATGGTTGTAGACACACCATAGTGACTCAGTGTGGTGACAGCTGATGGTTGTAGCCACACCATAATGACTCAGTGTGGTGATAGCTGATGGTTGTACCCACACTCAGTGTTAAGTTTGTGATACAGTCCACTGTGCAAACATGTGTACTCCACCAATGATGTTCTGTATACATCTCATTATTCAGAGGTTATTGTGAATTATATATACTGTACTGTAGTGTACTGTACTGTACTGTAGTGTACTGTACTGTAGTGTAATGTACTGTAGTATACTGTAGTGTACTGTACTGTACTGTAGTGTATTGTACTGTACTGTAGTGTATTGTACTGTACTGTAGTGTATTGTACTGTAGTGTACTGTACTGTAGTGTACTGTAGTGTACTGTACTGTAGTGTATTGTACTGTAATGTACTGTAGTGTACTGTACTTTACTATACTGTAGTGTACTGTACTGTACTCTACTCTACTCTACTCTACTCTACTCTACTCTACTCTACTCTACTCTACTCTACTCTACTCTACTCTACTCTACTCTACTCTACTCTACTCTACTCTACTCTACTATACTATACTATACTATACTATACTATACTATACTATACTATACTATACTATACTATACTATAGTTTCACATGTTTACTGTCACCCACTTAAGATACAGTGGACAGCATGTACAAGAACAACTACCTTTCTAATTAAGTGTGACAAAAGTCAGTGTACATAAGTGTGACACAAGTCAGTGTACTTAAGTGTGACACAAGTCAGTGTATTTAAGTGTGGTACAAATCAGTGTAATTGTGGCATAATTCATTGTACTTAAGTGTGATACAAGTCAGTGTAATTAAGTGTGGCATAAGTCAGTGTACTGATCAATGATAGGATAAACGGTAGTGCAATAATTAAAATGTTTTAATAAAGTGAACTATGTAGGTAAGGCAGTACAGTAGATGATAAGAGTTGTATTGTTTACAAACTCGGCTAATAGTGTGTAAGAGAGGAGGGACCATGAGTGACACCAGTACACAATTGTCCTCTTTGGTGACACACATAAGAGGTCGTACAGGAAAGAGATCATTCCACTGTGCAGAATGTGATAAAACTTTTCCTCGTAAATTTTCTTTAGTAAAACACATGAGAATTCACACAGGAGAGAAACCATTCCAGTGCTCAGAATGTTTTAAAAAATTTTCAAGTAAATCTAATCTAGTATCACATATGAAGTCTCATTCAGGGGAAAAACCCTTTCAGTGTACGGTTTGTCTTAAAAACTTGGCACGTAAATCTGTTCTTATAGAGCACATGAGACTACACACTGGAGAGAAGCCGTATCAGTGTCCTCAGTGTTTTAAAACATTTTCAAATAAATCTAATCAAATAACACACATGAAAGTTCACTTTGGAGGTAAACCATTTCAGTGTGTAGAATGTCTTAAAAACTTTGCACGTAAATCAGTTCTACAGGAACACATGAGGGTCCACACGGGAGAGAAGCCATATCAGTGTACAGAATGTCTTAAAGACTTTTCACAAAAGTCCAATTTAGTCGAGCACATGAGAGTTCACACCGGAGAGAAGCCGTACCAGTGTACAGAATGTCTTAAAGACTTCAAACAAAAATCATCTCTGATAAGCCATATGAAAGCTCATATAGAAAAGCCATATCAGTGTCCAGGCTGTACCAGAAACTTTTCTCAAGAATCTGATTTAGTAGAACATATGAGGGTTCATACAGGAGAGAAACGTCATCAGTGTCCAGAATGTCTTAACAACTTTTCCGATAGATCTGTTTTAAGAACACACATGAAGATTCACACAGGAGAGAAACCATTTCAGTGTGAAGAATGTTTTAAAAACTTTGCACGTAAATCTTCTCTAGTAGAGCACACCAGAGTTCACACGGGCGAGAAACCTTATCAGTGTCCAGAGTGTGTCAAGAACTTTTCAAATAGATCTAATTTATTAACGCACATGAAAGTTCACACAGGCGAGAAACCATTCCAGTGTTCCGAGTGTCTGAAAAACTTTGCACGTAAATCCATTCTCATAGAGCACATGAGGGTTCACACAGGAGAGAAGCCATATCAGTGTTCAGAATGTCTTAAAAACTTTACACAAACATCATCCCTTGTAAAACATATGAGACTTCACACTGGAGAGAAAGCATGTCAGAGTACAAAGTCTTAAAAACTATTCAAATACAGTAGTGAACACATGCAAGACAAGACCATGTCTGTGTCCAGAATGTCTTGAAAAATTTTCAGTAAAATCTTGGTTGTTAGAGCAATGGTAATTGATACAGCAGAAAAGACTCTCACCATAATATACACTTTGTTAAAACAACCAGTTTCAACTCCTGTACAGTAAAACCTCGATAAATCGGACTTCAATATATCGGAATTCGCCTTTTTCAGACTGAGATGCTCTGGTCACCAGAAATACTACAGTATTGTACATTGGTCTAATGAAATTTGTTATAGGCCTACTGAGATCTAAGACACTTTAGTATGTAAGCAGGCTGGGGCTGATATGTGTTGCCACATTGGTCAGGTTTATTTATTTATTGATTCAGTATTATATTCTCCTATGATTGGCCTCTTATGGTTTATGGTTATCATGATTAATATAACAGCTTCAGTTATAGAGAAAAAATACAATGCTTTATGTAATATGTAATATGACCTGAGAATAAAAGGATAAGCTGTATCAGAAGGTTATTACTCAAGATGCATTTGTGTGACAGCTTTCAGCAGATCAGCTTACAAAAGGGGTCACTATAACACTGTATAGTGTTATATGATGACTCAGTTTGGTTACTTGTAGACTTAGACACATGAATAAACCAGGATATATGCAGATACATAATACTTTAAACTACAATATTACTTATTGATGCTAAATACACCACAGTTGTATTTATTAAGTGATGATAAATACACTACAATAGTATTTATTAAGTGATGATAAATACACAACAGTAGTATTTATTAAGTGATGATAAATACACTACAATAGTATTTATTAAGTGATGATAATTACACTACAGTAGTATTTATTAAGTGGTGATAAATACACTACAGTAGTATTTATTAAGTGATGATAATTACACTACAGTAGTATTTATTAAGTGGTGATAAACACACAACTGTAGTATTTATTAAGTGGTGATAAATGCACTACAGTAGTATTTATTAAGTGGTGATAAATACACTACAGTAGTATTTATTAAGTGATGATAATTACACTACAGTAGTATTTATTAAGTGGTGATAAACACACAACTGTAGTATTTATTAAGTGGTGATAAATGCACTACAGTAGTATTTATTAAGTGGTGATAAATACACTACAGTTGTATTTATTAAGTGGTGATAAATACACTACAGTTGTATTTATTAAGTGGTGATAAACACACAACTGTAGTATTTATTAAGTGGTGATAAATACACTACAATAGTATTTATTAAGTGGTGATAAATACACTACAATAGTATTTATTAAGTGGTGATAAATACACTACAATAGTATTTATTAAGTGGTGATAAATACACTACAATAGTATTTATTAAGTGGTGATAAATACACTACAGTAGTATTTATTAAGTGATGATAATTACACTACAGTAGTATTTATTAAGTGGTGATAAACACACAACTGTAGTATTTATTAAGTGGTGATAAATGCACTACAGTAGTATTTATTAAGTGGTGATAAATACACTACAGTTGTATTTATTAAGTGGTGATAAATACACTACAGTTGTATTTATTAAGTGGTGATAAACACACAACTGTAGTATTTATTAAGTGGTGATAAATACACTACAGTAGTATTTATTAAGTGGTGATAAATACACTACAGTAGTATTTATTAAGTGGTGATAAATACACTACAGTTGTATTTATTAAGTGGTGATAAATACACTACAGTAGTATTTATTAAGTGATGATAAATACACTACAGTACAGGTTGACAATCCCTTATCCGAAATCCTTGGGACCAGATGCATTTCGGTTTTTGGAATATTTCGGTTTTCAGATTTTTTTTTTTTTTTACAGGGATCAGCCCACCCGGGCACAGGTCGTGTTTCTCATTTTTTATCTTTTTTTCATTCTTGTATTATTATTATTATTATTATTATTATTATTATTATTATTATTGTTTTATTATTACAGTATTATTGTTATTATTATTATTGTTATCATTCTTATTTTATTTTTGTGTATTTTTTATTAAAAATTTTATTTACTACAGGTTGACAATTCTTTATCCGAAATCCTTGGGGCCAGAGGCATTTCGGTTTTCGGAATTTTTCGGTTTTCAGAATTTTATTTTATTTTTTTTTTTGTGTATTAGCCCACCTGGGCATAGATCACTGACCCACATTGGGGCCTGGGGGTCGAAAATATAATAAAAATAATACTAATAATACTAATAATAATTCATAGGTCTAGGTCGTGTTTCTCACTTTTGATCTTTTTTTTCATTCTTGTATTTCTTTACTGTATTATTATTTTATTATTACAGTATTATTGTTATTATTATTAATTTTATTATTATATTTTATTATTATTATTATTGTTATTGTAATCATTATTATTTTATTTTGGTGTATTTTTATTAAAAATTTTATTATTTACTATGAATAATAATTATTATTATTATTATTGTAATTATTATTACTATTACGTTTTTGCCCCCCAGGCCCCGATATGGGTCAGTGATCTGTGCCTGGGTGGGCTAATAATCCCTGTTAAAAAAAAAAAAAGCCCTACAAAAAAACTTTCGGTTTTTAGAGCTTTTCGGTTTTCGGAATTTCGGATAAAGGGTTGTCAACCTGTATGAATAATAATTATTATTATTATTATTATAATTATTATTACTATTACATTTTCACCCCCCAGACCCCGATGTGGGTCAGTGACCTGTGCCCGGGTGGGCTGTTGCCAAAAAAAAAAAAAATTGCTCCACAAAAAAACTTTCGGTTTTTGGAATTTCGGATAAAGGGTTGTCAACCTGTAATATTTATTAAGTGGTGATAAATACACTACAGTAGTATTTATTAACTGATGATAAATACACTACAATAGTACCGTATATCTCGGCCTACAAGGCGACTGGGTGTATAAGACGACCCCAAAAATTTCCATTTAAAAAGTAGCTTTTGAGCCCTATTCGCTGTATAAGACCGGTACCCCAAATGTGACACTTAACCATTGGGAGCTTACTGACCCAGTAGTACTTTACCAACCATCCCATTGACCAGTGCTGTTTACACATACATGGCTTTTTAAAATAAGGCCAATTCACTTCAAGTAATGGCATCAAATGTTACCGGTTGGTGTAGTGTAAACACTAGTAACTCACTTAAACGTCTGTTATTTAACTGGAACTAATGTCGGTGTCGAATACAATTGTTTCATTTACTTGAAATGGATTTACCGATTTATTTGTTTATTTATTTATTTATAACATTCTGTAATATATTAAACACACTGCAAGTATTTTCTTTAATTTATAAGCTTCCTTCACGAGAGACAATCAGTGGTGGGACTGTTCCGACTGTTTACACCAGCTACAGTATTTTAATTCAATAGAATCGCTTAACGCGATTTCGCATATACGCGGTGCCTCGCCAGAACCGAACTTTCACTTAACGCGGTTCACCTACCCATATACGCGGTGAAGTATAATTTTTTTTATTATTTAGCTCATAAATTCATACAAATTACCCGGCCAGAATATAATTTACATTGCTGGAATTTTTACAATATGATGATCATTTTGAATATAAACATCATAGATTTTGCATTAGACATACAAATTTTAGATATAATGTTTACTCTGAGTAAATATGTTATCTTTTGTACAAAATATATGACATTTATATTCAAAATATTCCTGGTCTTACAAGGAATCCAGCAATGTCAATTATATTATCCTAACTTTAGTTTGAGGTATTATTTATTACTAAAAAGGTAAATATTCTGGTTTTCCCACACGTCTGGTAGGGAGGGTTGGTGGGGGGTGGGGGGAGGGAGGGACCGACCGACCATCTGGCACGGTGTGAAGAATATATTTTTTTTTTTATTAACTGAAGATATTTGTTTTAGCTCATAAAATTCATACAAATTACCCGGCCAGAATATAATTTACATTGCTGGAATTCTTACAATTTGATGATCATTTTGAATATAAACATCATAGATTTTGCATTAGACATACAAATTTTAGATATAATGTTTACTCTGAGTAAATATGTTATCTTTTGTGCAAAATATATGACATTTATATTCAAAATATTCCTGGTCTTACAAGGAATCCAGCAATGTCAATTATATTATCCTAACTTTAGTTTGAGGTATTATTTATTATAATCCAGTGGTTTTCCCCCAAAATTGCTCAGAGAGGGAAGAGCCAGTGAGTGTAGTGTGAGAAGAGGGGGAGGGAGTTGAGTCCATTATTTGAATGGACATTAACTTGGCGACTGTATTTCTCTATTTCTCTTAAGTATTAATTGTGTGCATGTACCATCATAAAATTAAGATGTTATTTTTACTGGAACATAGGTATTGTGTCCGAAAAAGTAGAGTTTGGGGATCGGGCCAGTCTCTATTGGAATTAATCCCATGTGTTCTGTTGTTCACTTAACGCAGTTTTCACTTAACACGGTACCCCGTGGGTTCAATTGACCGCGTTAAGCGGGGTACTACTGTATATATATAGTTTCACAATATTTTATAATCGCAGTCATGTACTGAATATTCTATGTAAAAAATATAAATTTTAAATGAATTATTTATAATGTGGTGGACTTCCTACACAAAGACCGGCTATAAATAGCCGTCTTATCTTCCGTACCCCTCCATCCCTCTGTTCTCAGAGAGGTGTCTTGGTAAATAACTTTTGTTTGTTTATTTTCATTGTTTGTCTAATTTATCATGTTGTATCAAAGTGATATTACTAAAAATTTTAGGCAGCTACCAAACAGGGAGACTCTACTGCCTGGAAAGATATTGGAAGCACAATGTACAGTATTGTCTAATGGTAGACCCTAGTTCCATATGGCATCACGAAAATTGTGACCAAGTCTTAGGTTGCTGATTTATCTTTCTGCCTCATTTACACACAATTGCAGAGTTTCAATTGTTTCTCTTCCTTTGACAACACAACATACATACAATATAATGTTTCTCACCTTTGATCTTTTTTCCTTTTTGCATTTATTTATGGTTGGTTATTTAAAATAAGGCCAATTCACTTAAAGTATTGGCATCAAATTTTACCGGCTGGTGTACACTAGTGACTCACTTAGCGTCAGTTATTTAACTGGAACTAATGTTGGTGTGAGTAAAATATTTCCATTTACTTGAAATAGATTTGCCGATTTATTTGTTTATTTATTTATTTATAATATACTGTAATATATTAAACACACTGCAAGTATTTTCTTTAATTATATACTTGTTTTGCGAAAAAGGGAGGCTACCATTATACCTGGTAGGTGAAGTTGACCAGACATTTATGGAGATCATTAAGGACCAAACTCCGAATCTATGACGTGACTTCTGTTCATCGTTTATATCCTAAATTTACCACTGTCGGTAGTTTCA